AAAGAGCCACGACAGTGTTTCCCTTAAGCCAAATTAAATCACATACTGGTGTAAGGCCTATGGTAACATATTATTCTGTTCCACTTTTCATTCTGTCTGACCTAGTCCCTGAGCAATAGGACTGCGGCTAAACAAAGGCAGTTGTTCAAATAATTACAGGCCCTATGTGAAGAGGCTAATCGTTTTAGTCTTGAAGTGTCAGTGACTCACCATCTTGGACTTTTGGCTTTGATGTGTATTCTCGCTGAAAATGGAGAGAAGGGTCTGGCTCTGCCTGGCAGCTGACAGCGGCAGCTCCAGAGCTGGCTGGTGGTGTCATGTCGCCCTCTCGTGGCCTCCGGAGCAGCGTGGCATGCTTGCAGCCAGAGCGGGAGAACAATCTAGGCCTCCTCTCCCTCCAGCTGGGCAGCCCTGGTGAGGAGGGCTGGACCCTCCTGAGATGACAGGTCACTGAGGCTGACCTGCCACAATTCGGCATGGCCCACCGGCTTTGGGTGCTGACCTCCATCCCCACCCTTAGTCTGTGAGTGACCAGACAAGATAACACAGGACCCTGGCCCAGATTTTCAGCTGTCTCCCCCCAGCTCAGGACAGTGTGTGCCTGGCACAAGTCAGTAAATATCTGTTGAATGAATGGATAAAACTGGGGATGGAGAGGACTCCTAATTAGACTCCAACTTCTCAGTTAAGTGTTTTTACTGATACACAATGGATCATTGTAGTTAGCCAAGGAACAGTGCTTGCTCTCATGACTTACTTTAATACATTTAAAAAGGTTCCACTCTGTCTCATTTCAAGCAGCCAAACTCTTTCTCTGTGTTCACATACGTGAATCACAAGAGACTAGATATCAGGATCTAAGGATGTGCTTTCCAACTGCATGCCTCACCTCAAGATAAGACTGCAGCCCCGCGGGCTGGTTCGGGGACCCCACCACATCGTCCACACAACCAGCTCTGAAGGGCAGCAGAAGCAGAGGGTGCTGCTAGCAGCATTTCACTTTTTGAAATGCTGGTGACAGGGTTTTTCCTTTTCCTAGAGTATACAGGCATCATTCTGATCATTGTTCTAACTGGTTTGAGGCTTAAGTCCATACTCTCCTCCCTTGCTAGCACCCTACAGGGAAATTAGGTTGTCCCGAAGCCAGCTACCACTAATCCCCACAGCATCTTTTTATTCTTTAAGTCACAGGGGAAAGTCCATGGGGGGAAAAACTCTAAAACACATGGCACAGCTTTTAGACAGCCAGGGGACCCCTCCAGGATGACCTGTGGCGCTGGGGAAGCACTGGGATGGACCAAGGCAGGGCCGCCTCCTGCCCTTCATCTCTTCGTGGCCATCACCGAGCAGATTTCCACCTCAAGTATGAAGCCCCCACAAGAGTCAGCACCTTCACCTGGCTCAGCGTGGACACCTTGGCCAGTGAAACCATGCTCAGGGGAGGGGCCTGCAGGCATGTCGACTGGCCCATGCTCCCTCCCTGAAATCACTGGCCAAGGCAGGGCGCTCACTAGATTCAAAGCTCCTTGAGAACAGGCCCAGCCCCTTCCTTCTGCTTCATCCTCTTAGGAAAGCCCTCTGGTTCAACCCAAGAGAGGCCATGAAAAGCCTATTGGCTGATTTCTAAGTTGGCTCTTCTGCTTTCTATGCCAAACTTGACTCAAAATGCAATGCCGCTTTGGACCCCACACCATTCCAGAAACTTTACTGACCACCGACGTGTACCAGGCCAGTGACAGCTGCTGGGGACAGAGAGGAGGGGGCAGTCCTTGTTTTCAGGGACTGTTGGGTGGGCAGCAAGCACAGAGCTAAGCCCTGAGTCCAACCAGGCACAGTCACCTCTCGGTATCCCTAGGGGATTATTCCAGGACACCCCTCAGATACCAAAGTCCTCAGATGCTTAAGTTTTAAGATGTTTGCATTAACCTTCACACACAAAGTCCTCAGATACTTAAGTTTTAAGATGTTTGCATTAACCTTCGCACATCCTCCTGTACACTTTAGACCATCGGTAGATTATTTCGAATCTAGATTACTAACAGAATACCCACATATCACTTCACTCACATGGACTGTGTAGTGGTCGGCATGTAGCAAATTCAAGTTTTGCTTTTTGTAACTTTGGGGAATTAAAAAACATATATTTTCGCTGGGCGTGGTGGCTCACGCCTGTAATCCCAACACCTTGGGAGGCCAAGGCAGATGGATCGCTTGAGCCCAGGAGTTTGAGACCAGCCTGGGCAACATGATGAAACCCTGTCCCTATACAAAATATAAAAATTAGCTGGGCATGGTGGTGCACACCCAGGTACTAAGGAGACTGAGGTAGGGGTACTGCTTGAGCCTGGGAGGTCGAGGCTGCAGTGAGCTATGATCTCTGCCACTGCATTCAAGTCTAGGGAACAAGGCAAGACTGTCTCAAAAATATATCAATCCATGGTTGAATCCATAGATGAGGAACCCATGGACGTGGACGCCTGATTATCTCAGCTGCCAGGAAAACATCCAGGTATGCAAGGGGCCCAGTGGTGGGGAGGGGATGAAGGGCTCCAGGAAGGCAACGAGAAGAGGCAAGGAATGTTTCAAAGAAGAGGTGGGCCAGGAGAGATGAGAGGAGCCTGCCAGCCCCAGATGACCTGAGCCTCACGGGGGCAGAGGTGGCAGTCACAGCCAGTCTCCATCTTCACCCTCTGTACCCCTCCTGGTGCCCAAGCACCAATGCAACATTAATGGAACAAGTAAACTGGGGACCTGAATGCAAAAGGAGAAACGCAAAGAGAGACAGGCAAAGGCCTCAGAAGGTCAAGTGGGTAAGGAATGGAGAGTCCAAATACCCTTTAGAGGAGCGGGGATCCTGGGAAACGCAGACCTCGGGGCGAGCAGGAGGGAAGGCTGGTAGTAAGTCACTGAAATGGTTTGCATGACAGTCAATAGCAGTAAAGAAAACTTGAAAAAGCAAGGGTGCTAGGTTTATATTTCTTCCTCTGAGCTATGGCACATAAATCAGGGTAAGTGATTATGGTATCGGAGAAGCTTTAAGCTGGAGAATTCTCTGCAGTTTTGGTCATCTCATTAAAAGGAAGGTGCAGGAGAGGGTCATAATCCTAAGAAGGGAAGGACAACCGAGCACGTGCAAGGACTGCAAGAATGTGCCTGCAAGGACGTGATCGGATCCGGGAGGCCCACGAGTGTAGAGAAGGCTTGGAGGGACAGTGGCAGTGGCCTGGCACTCGGAAGAGGAATCTGTGCACAGAAGCCACTGCTCGCCAGGCACACATTCACTGCTGCTGCAGCCTCAGGTGCTTTATGCCTTTTGGTTTTTGCTTTGAAACACAGTCCATTCTGTCACCGGGCTAGAGTGCAGTGGTACAATCATGGCTCATTGCAACCTCGATCTCCCAGGCTCAAGCGATCCTCCTGCCTCAGCCTCCCAAGTATCTGCAACTACAGTTGTGCACCACCATACCTAGCTAATTTTGTATTTTTTGCAGAGATGAGGTCTCACTATGTTGCCCAGGCTGGTCTGGAACTCCTGGGCTCAAGTGACCTGCCTGTCTTGGCCTCCCAAAGTGCTGGAATTACAGGCAAGAGCCACTGTGCTTGGTCAGGTACTTCACACACTTGTCTAAGCTGCTCTAACCTGTTGCATTAGGCGTTATCATCCTCATTTTCTAATGAGTAAACAGATACTCCAGGAGAAGAAGCAGCTTTGCCAACATCACCCAGCCAGAAAAGGGCAGTGCCAGACACAAATCCAGCCCCTGCTGGCTCCCAAAGGCTCTGTGCTTCCGCCACACCCTGCCTCCCCAAGGCAGAGAACGTCCAGAGGGCACTGGCAGGCAGTGCAGCCTCCTGACAAATACTAGGCAAGACACATCCTTGGAAGGCCAGGTAGGGAAAGGTATAGGCATTTCCCGGGGACAAAGAAATCATTGTGCAGATGTGGTTTCCTGGGGATATACTTCATCTCTGTCATTTGGCTGGAGCAGAAGAGAGAGCTGCTGAGGGCCACTCCAACAGCTGTGGGACAAATCTCCCACCCGGCTGCGGATCGCTGGGACGAAGGGGCCATGCAGCCTGGCTAACAGCAGCCTGCTCACCTGCTGCAGCCTCCCTGGGCTTCCCTGACAGTCTACGAAAAGGCACCTGATGGGCTCACCATTGGGACTGCAAAGATCCTGAGCCCTCCGGCACTCTTGGCTCAGTCAGAAGGCTGTGTCTGAATTAAAAGTGATGTGCAAAGACCGGGGCAGGTGAACACACACCACAGAAAACCTGTCTGTGGCAGCTTATGCAAGGGTGTCTTTAACATTGGACTCTATGGTAGAATCAGTGATTCCCAACAATATCTGAGGCTGAGGGAAGGAGGCAGGTGGAAATTGATTCTCTGAGACCACCTCACCGGAAAGCACAGCCCTGGCTTGAAGTTGCTTAGACAAGATTCTAGAATGAGATGTAGGGAGGTGGGGAAGCATCATTCCCAGTAGGTTGTAGGCACAAGGCCTTTGGGAAAAAGCCCTCTGGGAAGGGCACAGCCAGGGCCACATCCCCGAGGCATCTGCTAGGTGGGAAAGGGCAGCCTCGGCCTCACATTGATGCACGGACCCTACTGACAAGTGCTTAGATGTGCACAGCCCTGCACCTCCCTGAGCTGCACATCACTCTGTTAGACAGGTTGGGAAGGGGCCATCATTTCGATTTGTAAGTGAGGTCTCTGAGGCTGAATGCACCAGCTTGTAGGGAGCAGAACTAGGGCTTGAACCAAGATTTGCAACTTGAAGCTCAAGGCCTCATCCACTACCAATCAGCCAACCCAGACTGTGCTCCACCTTAGCTTTCAAACGCCCACTGAGAAGCTGGACAGAGAGGACTTGTGTTCTGAAAAGCCTTTGGTTGTTTCGGGAGCCCATTTTGGTGTCTAAGAGGGATAAATGTGGGCACTGACTGGTAACTGATGTGTTCTGACGCAGAGGAGCCTCGTGCCCCCAGGAAGTGCTTACCCCTTCCATGGGCGCGATGAGCAGGTCATACAGGGCACGGAGCGGGGGCTTGGCAAACGAGCTCTGCCTCCTGGGAAGAGAGGAGGTCCCGTCCTGGGTCGGTGACACAGTGTTACTGAACAGGCTTGTCATGCTCTGGCAGCTCCTGGGGAAGGAAGGGTCGAGGGTCAATCAGGGCCACGCAGGCAGGTGAGGATCACCCCAACCCTCCCAGCCATGCCCCTGTATGGAAGGCGGGCCAAGGCTTCACAGCAGCACCTCCGCCAGCCTCCCTCCCAGCTCCGGCCCCTTCTCTTCCCTTTCAGGTAATTTTCACACTACAGTGAGCACTGTCAGAAACCGCAGGGTAAACCAGCTGCACACAACAGCTTACATTTCTATGGTGTTTTTTCTACATAGTCAAATGTCCCTAAGTGCTGTTCAAAGGATTTAATTACATCCTGTGTGGAGCAATTGTGTGCAGGCAAACGTGAGGACCATTAGAAATCAGGGATAGCCACCAAGCTGATGAGGACAGTGCCCTAATACCAATTAATTTACTACGTGGGGGCTGCAGACAGGACAAAGAACATGTCAGCCCCCACCTTGGGCTCAGAGCAGCCGCTGGGCACCCACCTGGGCACCAGCACAGGCTCTGTGGCAAGGCAGTGGAAACCCCTGGTCCCATGGCCTCACTGGGAAGATGCTAGGAGCGGCTGACCAGACAGCAGCTGCAGAGTGGGTCAGTTTGGGTATGGCTGTGTAGTTCTGTTTCACTTTTCAATTTCTGTTCCAGTGTTTCCGGGAGTAGATTAATATGGAAACATTTTCAACCCCAAGGACCCCAAGTTTCATACTGCCAACATGGGATGAGAGCATTCACTGATTCATTCATTCATTCACTCATTCCTTTGGAAAAATTTCCCCAAGTGCTGGCTGTCTGCCAGGCACTGGCATAGTCTCTGGGAACCTACAGAGGACAAAATGCACTAGTGAGCAGAAGAGGAACAGGGAGGGGAAACAAATCCATTTCCAGTGCAGCAGCAAGGCTGCCCACGCTCATCCTCTCAGAACCTGCCCTGTGGCCTGGCCAGGGCGGCTGCACCACAGCCATCAGTGACATTCTCTGCCTATTGGACAATTTTTTTTTTTGAGACAGACAAGGTGTCATCCTTCCTGTAGAAGACAGCTTAAAAAAAGAGAGGTGGGGAGAAGGTGGTGTTCCATGGCCCAGGCTGGAGTGCAGTGGTGCAAACACAGCTCCCTGCAGCCTCAACCTCCTGGGCACAAGTGCTCCTCCCACCTCAGCCTCCTGAGTAGGTGGGTCCACAGGTGTATACCATGACACCCAGCTAACTTGTACATTTTTCTTAGAAGAGATGGGGTCTCACTGTGTTACCCAGGCTTGTCTTGAACTCCTGGGCTCAAGCAATCCTCTCAAAGTGCTGGGATTACAGGTGTGAGACACCACACCCTACCACCAGTGATCTCTTCGCCTTGATTTAGACACTGTGCATGGTGTTGGAGTTTCTGCCACATATTCTAGGATCCTTATGGGGAAAGACCCTGCCTTAAACCAGATACAACTGCTGTCTAGTTGATGGCAACTAGATGGTTGCCTAAGAAAAATACAGAAGGCTGTTCCTCTCTGCTGGTCCAGGCCAGGAACGATGACATCAAAATAAATTATTTGAAAGATTCAGTGATGTGTTTTCCAGGTGAGGCTTCCACCCCCAGCTCTCTCCCACTCTTCCTGGCAATGCACCACTTGACCTAAATTCTAGGGCTGTGTCAAGCCAAGCTCTCAGCACCCTCAGCCTCCAGCCTGGTGCCTGCGAGAGGTGAACAGAGCAGCAGGACTTGGAGGGCTGGAAAGCCCACCCTCGTCTGCTCCCTGGCCTCGCTCACTCTGGAAATGTGTAATTACAAGTGACGAGGGCCGAAGCATGTCTTTGCCATCAGAGCCAGTGAAGCACAGATAACCCTGGAGTGACACTCGGAGGCTCACTTAATTCCACAGAATACACTGCAAAGAGCAATTCTCCCCTCAAGGAGAGATTTCCAAATTGCTCTCCCAAGGAGGCGCTTTGGCGTGACACACGGTGTCTGTCACGGCACTGTCTGTTACCACACACATGCATTCTCAGCAGACAGGGAGCACAGCCCGGAAGAGCCCAGGCTGCCATCCAGACAGCAGATGGGTGGCAGCAGGAGCACTAGGTGCCCACTTCCTGTGTACCTCATGTTTCACAATCTAGATGATGGCCTGGACTGTGGGCGCATGTACCCCTAGCTTGAGGCGCCTGAGTCTGATCAGTCCAGCGGAGGGTGACTAGAAGGAATGCCATGACCCCAGACAATGCTGTGACCTGAGGTCCTCAAGATGACTGATGGGGACACTCCACAAACCTTCAAGGCCCTTCGGCTTTGAACTGAAAAGGCTCCTACTAGAGAAGAGACGCCAGCTCTAGGGAGTTCTCAGGACAGCCCCAGCTGTCCAGGGAGATCCAGGAGATTAGCTGCTCCAAAGCATGGCTACTTACTCCAACATATCAGAACCAAACACCCGGCCCAGCTGACCCTCCCTGAGGAGCACAAGGTGTCAGGTTGGGCAGTCCCTGGAGGTCTGGGCAGGGCACCCCTACTGCCAATGCTGAACTGCACAAGGAGTGCCAGGGAAGAGCTGGAGTCTGATGCCAGCCAGCAATTCCAAAGAGGAAAATGTCTGGAGGGAAGTGGTGGACAGACCTGCTGAGCTCGAATCCCAGCCTTGGGCAAGTCATTTACCCCTGGGCACTACTTCATGCCCTGCAATCAGGGGCAGCATCCCCAAGGGGCAGGGAGTGTGGGCCTGGAGAGGATGGCTACCGCGCAAGCAGAGCCACCTAAGGCTTGGGCATGTGAGCTAGAGACAGGCCTGGGGCGGGAAGGCAGAGGCCAGGCTGCAGATTCCAGGGCCTAAGTGCTGACGGTGGTGGCGTCTTCTTAAGGAAAATGCCATGAGCGCCAGAGGCATTTAAGGGGCCCGGTGGCGCCAACCCATCCCACTTATGTCACTGCCCATGATGTGCCAGATACTGGGTGCCACCCAGGCCACGAGTCTTTGCCCTGGGTTCCAACAGTGGTGGGGCAGTGCCAGGGACAAGTCCCTGACTCTCACTGCTGGTCAAGCTGAGCTGAGGGAAGCCTCTTTGGGACAGCACCATTTGATCAAATGATCAGCACCATTTGATCTGGGCTATGAGGGTCGATTTGGAGGTTGCCTGCCTGGACAAAGTGGAGGTCATTCTGAACAGAGGAACCACATAGGGAAACAGAGACTGGGGTGATTAGGGCAGCGAGTGTGAGGAGTCATGCGGACAGAGGGCTGAGGACACAGGCTGAAGAAGAAAGTGGGCCAGATGGGCCTGGGCAGAGGCTCTGGAGTTATCTATAGGGAGAAGCAGTACCTCTTACCTCTTTAAACAACCAGGATTGCCTGATCAGGAAGTTCCTCTCCCTAGGCTACTAATTCTTTCCTAGGGGATGAGCATAAGAAGGCCAGCTGTGTCTATACTCCTCCCAGAGAACATTCCCCTGCCCCCAGGGCTGGGTTTTGCAGAGTAGCCATGATCAGACCATATGCCACCCTCACCCTGGCTAACTTCAGTTGGGAAGCCAGTCAGATGCTTTGACCAGGGCTGGGCAACACACAGCCATTTAAGGCACCTGTCTGACCTGGGGATATTTCCTGGAAGACCCTCTCTGGGCATCTGGGTATGTTCCCAGGCAGTACAGATTCTCCAAGAACCAGATCCTATGCAACAAGATCATCTTGATGCCAAGAGCTGAAAAAAAAATAGAGGAACCAGATCCTAATGGGGTGGGCAGGGCACCTGAGCTACAGCAAAGGCTCTGCCTCTGAGCCTCCGCTGAGCACCCCCTGCCTGGAACTGAACCTGATCCTGCTCTCTCCAGGCTACCAAGCCCACCTGTGCCCCAACAACACTTGCTGACCTCTGCCCCCTGGATGCCACATCAAGTGCTAGCTCTCAGCCTCCCACCTTGGCCCTTCCTGCAACCTGGCAGCTCGCAGACAAATTATCTCTGGAGCAGCAGTTCCTGGACACTGACCCTGGCCAGCCCAGGCTGGGTGGGCCCAGCAGGACCTGGCCACAGGGCCCCTCGCACTCAGGCAGGCGGTCCTTTGAGAATACCCCTCTGATCTGTGCTGCTACTCAGTGGGGGGCACCCGTCCCTAGAGATATCCTTTTCAAAATAAAAACAAAAGCCTAGAAATAGTCAGCTGGTAATTATAAAACAAACAAACAAAAAAACCAACCAGCCTGAAACCATGGTTTGAGGTCGAGGTAAGTCCATGAAGACTTTCTCCCTGAGCAGGAGGCATCTGTGGCTAGCCGTCGGGCCCCGTGGCAGCAGCCTTTGCAGGCCAGCATCTGCTGGGCCCAGTGCTGCCTTTCTGCCCATGCCTATTCTTTAGTAGCTCTTCAGGCAGCAGTGACCTCTGGTTTCTCCAGGCTAATGGCCCTGGTCCACCTTGACAGCAGCCTCATGCAGCTGGTCCCCACTGGGGAACTGCCCTGGGACTGATAGGCTCAGGGGCAGAGAATGGGAGTGTCGGGGTAGGGAGCAGGCAGGAAACCAGGCCAAGAGCGACTGATGGTCCCTTGAACCCTGGGAGCCCTCTGCCGGAGGTGTGCATGCGGGGAGGGTGTCGGGTTGGGACTCCGAGGACAGGATGTGGCAGGACACAGCCCCTCTCTGGTTGCATGGGCGGACCTGAGGTTTCCCTGCCTCTGCCATCATTAGTGCTGCTGCTGCCTTGTGCAGACTGCTGGGAGCTGGTAAGGGTGAGCTCCTTTCACATGCAGCTGCTGTTCTCACTACAACAGTTCAAGTAACCCACTGCAGCTATCTTACTGGGGTACCTCTGCCTGGAGATCTGCATAAAGATATATTCCCAACAGCGCAAAACTGCAAAGCAGCCAGCTCCTTAGCCCCGAGCCTTGCTGTTCATAGATGGGAGTGGACCACCAGTTTGCCTAAACAGGTCACCAAAGAGCTGTGACTCTGGCAAGGCATGCCACTTTGTACTTCCTTTCCGGTAAAATAAAGGGTTGGGCTAAAGTTCTTGTAGGCCTCTTCTAAGTTGTGCTTTTTTTTTTT